TCTTTTAACATGTGGATATTTGATTGTTCCTGCACTATTAGTTATAAAGATAATACTTTTTTCACTGGGCTATCTTTGCATTCTGTTGAAAATCAGTTGACCATAATTATGAGGGCTTATTTTTAAACTCTAAATTAGATCACATTTATTTGTAGTTTATCATTTGACCAGCACCACACTATTATGATTACTGCAGCTTTATATGCTTTGAAATCAGGAAATATAAGATTTCCAAATTTATTTTTGTTTTGACTGTTCAGGATCTTTTGCGTGTCTATATAAATTTTAAGATCAGCCTGCTAATTTCAGCAAAAAATATCCTGCTTAGATTTTGATATGGATTACACTGAATCTAAAACTCAAACTCAGGAAGAACTGCCGTCTTAATAATATTGAGTCTTAAATCCATGAATGTGAAATATCTCTCAATTTATGTAAATTATCCATTAATTTTTCAACAATTTCTGTGACTTCTTTAGTATGCAAGTTTGCACTTATTTTTGAAATATATTCACAAGTATTTTATTTATTTTAAAATGAATAAAAATATGCTAAATTTCCTTTTCAAAATGTTAATGGCTAGTATAAAAGATACAATTGAGTTAAGATATTGTCCAATTATCTAGGAACCTTGCTGACATTGTTTATTAGCTTCAGTAGCTTTCTAAGAATTCTTTACAATTTTCTATATACAGCATCATGTCATTTGTGAATAAAAATAATTTCACTTCTTCCATTCCATTTTGAATGCCTTTTATGTAATTTTCTTGCTTCACTATTTTAACTAGAGTCTCCAATCTATTGCTGAATAGAAATGCTAACAGACATCCTTGCTTTGTTCCTAGTTAGGGGGAAAGCATTCAGTCTTTTACAATTAAAAATGGTGTCAGCTGTAGGTTTTTGTAGGTTCTCTATATCAAATTGAAGAAGTTCTCCTCCATTCCAACTTCACAGATAGCTTTTTTCATGAGTGGGTGTTGGATTTTGTCATAGCTATTTCATCTTTTCATAAGATTATATGGTTTTTGTCCTTTTTTCTATTAATATGGTGAGTTGATTTTTAGTTAGTAAACCAACTTTACATTACTAGGATAAATCCTTCTCAGTTATAGTGTATAACATATTGCTGGATTCGATTTACTAATATTTTGTTGAGGATTTCTTGTTATGTTCATGGATCTTGACTCTAGATTTCCTGTGACATGTTGGTCTGACTTTGGTATTAGGATAATACTGACCTAATGGAATTAATTGGAAAATAATTCCTTTTCTATTTTTCTCAAAGAATTTGAGACATATTGGTATTTATTTTTACATGTACCAGAGAATTCATCATGCTCATCACTGGTAAAGCCACCAAACCTAGGCTTTTATTTGTGGGGAAATCTTCATTACTGATTCAACTTCTTTATATATTATACATTTATTCAGATTTTTTATCTGTTTCTGTAATTTATGAATCTAGAAATTTTCCCATTTCATCTAGGTTGTTTAATTTCATAGCATAAAAGTGTTCATTGTATTCCCATGTGATTCTCCAGAGTATTCCCTTTAAATTCTGTTAAGTTAGTAGTAATTACCAAAGCGTTTCAGTAGTTTGTGTCATTTTTCTTGGTCAATTTTGTTGAGCTATTCAAGAACCATAGTTAATTCCTTTTTTATTTTTTAAAAATTGATCTAGTCTAACAATCTCTATAAATTTTCTCTAAGTAACTTGAAATTTATTATAACATGTTTAAATGTTGAGAATTGGTATTATCTCTTGATCAGTTTACCCTTTTATTGTTATAAAATAAACATTGTCCCTGGTAATATATTTGCTCTAAAATCTAATTTGTCTAACATAATATAGGTTATTCATATTTCTTTTAATGTATATTAGCACGTTATATCTTTTCTATCCCTTTCATTAAAACTCCTTGTGTTTTATATTTATAATGGGTTTCTTGTAGGCAGCATATGGCTGGATCTAAAAAAAAATCCAATCTTTGCCTTTTTATTGGAGTATTTTGACAATTTACACTTAATGACTTGATTGGCTTATACTATCAACCTACTATTTATTTTCTATTTGTCCCTTTGTTCCATTTTCCCTCTTTTTCTGTATTCTTTTGGATGAAATGGTTAATTTTCTGGCTTCATTTTCTCTTTTCTCCTGGTTTATTAGCACTAACACTTTATTTCTGTGGTTCAAGGGCTTACAGTATACATATTTAACTTATTACAATCCACTTTCAATACATACACTCAGTATTCCATAAAAACACTACAATCATACACTTCTATTTCTCCTTTCTTTACCTTTCTGCTGCTGTTGTCATGTATTTCACATGTACTGCAAACCCTATACTGTATTGCTATTTGTTTAAATAGTCAATTATATTTAAACAAGAAAAAATCTTATATATTTACCCATGAAGTTACCATTTCTGATATTCCTCTTTCTTTTATATACATTCATATTCTATATCTCTGTCTGGTATCATTATTCTTCTTTTTTGATTGTAGAAGGATTAAAGGACTTTCTTTAACATTTGTTATGGTACAAGTCTTCTGGTGATGAGATTTTTCAGCAATTGTGCATTTGAAAAGATTTTATTTTGCTTTCATTTTTGTAGGAAATATGAATGGGCATGAATTCTAGATTGATATTTTTTGAGTATTCACACTGTTTGCTATGCAAAATCTGCAGTCTTCTTTACCTTTATTCCACAGTTACGTGTTGAGTTTATTTTCTCTCAATGTTATATGATTTTTTATTTGTTATTTGTTTTAAAGAACATAATTTTAATGTGCCTTGGTATATTATTTATGTTTCTTGTGCTTGGAGTTCGGTGACATTCCTGGATATGCTGGTTTATGGGTTTCCATCAAATTGGGCAATTGATCAGCCATTATTTCTTCAAATACCTTTGTGCTTCCCCCTCTCTTCTGTAGGGACTTATGGACCTAAATTACCTGTGTATTAGATAGCTTCAAAGGTCCGTATTATCAAAGCTATGGTTTTTCCAGTAGTCATGTACAGATGTGAGAGTTGGACCAAAAAGAAAGCTGAGTGCCGAAGAACTGATGCTTTTGAACTGTGGTGCTGGGGAAGACTCTTGAGAGTCCCTTGGACTGCAAGAGATCCAATCAGTCCATCCTAAAGGAAATCAGTCCTGAATAGTCATTGGAAGGACTGATGCTGAAGCTGAAACTCCAATACTTTGGCCACCTGATGTGAAGAACTGACTCACTGGAAAAGACCTTGATGCTGTAAAGACTGAAGGCAGGAGGAAAAGGGGATGACAGAGGATGAGGCGGTTGGATGGCATCACTGATTCGATGGATATGAGTCTGAGCAAGTTCCAGGAGTTGGTGATGGACAGGGAAGCTTGGTGTGCTGCAGTTCATGGGGTTGCAAAGAATTGGGCACAACTGAGCAACTGAACTGAATTGTTACAGCTCTTATATAATTTTGGTTCATTTATGTCCTTTTAATGATTCTTTTTTTCCTTTTCTACATGCCTGGTAATTTTTAATTGGATGCCAGCCATTATGAATTTTACATTGTGTGTTGGATGCTTTAATAGTCCTTTAAATATTCTTAAGCTTTATTCTACATGGAGTTTTCATAGAAATACTTTGATCCTTTCAGTTCGTGCTTTAAAATTTTTTTTAATGTTATACTGTGTTCTATGGCTAACTATTCTTCACTACTGAGGTCAGACATTTCTGCATACTCAACACAATATCCTGTGAAACTGGATGTTTCCAGACTCACTGGAAAAAAAAAAAAAAAGACCCTATTCTCAGGTATTGTTATCTCTAATCCTTTTGGGTGGTTCTTTTCCCAGCATTGGGTAGATTCCTCCATTCATTCATCAAACTCTTCTGAACACTTGAGAGGGGTCTTCTGTGGATCTTTGCATTCCCTCTTTGCATAGTTCTCTCCTTTCCAGGAGTCTGTCTCCCTGAATTCAGCTCCATCACCTAACTCAGGGAATCTGTAGGTTCCATCTGGGCTCCTCACACTATGCTGTGTGCAGGAAATTCTCTTAAACAGAATTGGGCAAGGGCAATTATAGGGTTCAACTCATCTTAGTTCTCTCAGTAGTTCTTAGGATTCTCTTAGCAGTAGCCTGATGCCCAGTGTTATTCAAACAGTTGTTTCTTGTACTTGTCCATTTTTGTTGTTGTTTAAGGTGGGAAAGAAAGTCCAGCCCCTTTTACTTGTTGTAAACAGTTAAGTCCTTCTTCATTTACCTCATTTTCATTTAGGGACTGAAAATTCAGTCCACTATTCCTGTGGTTTTAAATAACTTTTTTCCTAAGCTTATTTAAGAAGTTAATTTTTTAAACAAGTTCATTAAACTAAATTTAAAATGTTAACCTTATTAAAATTGTTAAAAACCAAGAAAAAGCTCAGTAACCAGTTTAAAAACTTACCATCAGTTTAAATAGCTTGGCATACACTCTGTGCATGTATGAATTTAAAAGTCATAATACATTGGAGTAAAAAATGTAAATCTAAATCTATTAAGTTTTCCTTAAAAGATATGAAAAATGGCTAAAATGATGGAAACTACTGCAAACATTTGCAGTTTTAATTATATTTTAATTTAACATCCTCAGAACATTTAACACTATTCCTTCATAAGTCAAAAATATAGCAAATTGCATCCATATATATTCAAAAGTTCTGAGACAGTGCACATGGTAACACAATAATACACTAAAATATACTTCATTGATGAAAGAATACCATACTAAATGAGACAAGAGTAGGCACGCTAAAATCACAAATCACTATATTTCAACAAAAGGTTTTTAATACCAAAATAATAAAGATGTCAACATGGGAGATACTGGAAAAGCTCTACAGGTAGAAAAAGAAAGCTAGTGACATTTTGTTTAGGAATTTTACATATGCACAATAGCCAGACAAAGAACAAAACAGCAAACCAATTAAACTGTGCGTATGAATTCATGCATTAAACACTGTGCATGCTAAAATTTACCTGAATTATATGAACATAAGGCTTTATCTGGAAAAAAAATTAAAATGTAAAAATAAATGTAAAACTCTTTATGCAAAAGGGATATTAAAATCTAATTTCTGCTTCACATCACAGACTGTCATTTAACATTTTCATTTAAAAGTTTAAAAGGCCATACTAATCAGAATAAAATAATGAAGGAAGATACATCATATCTAAATTAGTAAAAATTTGAATTATAAATTTTAGTAGGAACTTTGAATACATGAAACAATTAAGAGGCTAAGAGAGAAGCACAAATTAGAGATGGCACATAAAATAAAAAAATTAATAATAGGCCTGCCCTGCATTCTAATGATTATCAATTCTATTTTATATTATATGGCCATATAACATATTAAATGTAAGACATAACTGTTACACACAGAAATTTGGCACATAAGAAGAACTAATAAATTGAAGAGATAATAGAGAAACTTGGAAGTTTTGATTTTGGAAAAAGTATATCTTAAAACTGATTTCTTTTTGTACAAAGAAAAATGAAAATTCATAAAGAACAAGCTATTTTGACATTCTCATTCAATAAAAAATATAATTCATAGAAATCATCACAGTTAAGTTAGCAGAATACAAATTAGATTCATCTGTTTCTAAATATTTACCAAGTTTCAAAAGGTAGCACAATATTAACAAATTGTTTTTGCATTTAAAAGAAGAGTAAATTATCATCTGAATATACATCAGAAAGTTAAAGGAATATATGAACTATCATGCCAAAAAAATACTAAGTAGTGAAAAAAATGCCATAACATATGGAAAAAGAAAATATTTATCCTAACACATCTACACATCTACGTCATTAGCCGAAAGACAATACATCACAGGGGGACAAAATAATACGTTCTCTAGTTATGGAATTGGTTTCTAATGCTTAATTAAAAATTTTAAATGTGAATGACAATTCTAAACTTTACTTAACAGATAGAGAAGTAGTACATTATCCATTACTATACATGATTAATCTGTTCCATTGGTAACCTATACATTGCTGGAATTATATAAAGTATTTTGAGGAAAAAAAAAACCCTTTATTCTGGACACTATAAAGGAATTTCATAAAACACAAATATAAAATTGTGGAAATAAGAAAATAGTAGTTAAATAATTTAAGTGTATTAACATTTTGTCAAGGGCATATTTTCATAAATTAACAAAAAACGGAATCAACTAGATTAAACAAGGATTTTAAAAACATCAACACAAACTAATTCATTTGAGAAACACTATTAATCTATCTGGTTTCAAACTTACCTTACAACATTTTCATAAAAGAAAGACTGTATTCATCATAAATGTTGTAAGGTAAGTTAGAAACCAGATAGATTAATAGTGTTTCTCAAATGAATTAAAGTTTGTGTTGGTTTTTAAAAACATCCTAGTTTTTTATAATCTTCTCTCAGTTTCCTTCTATTACTTTCATATATCAGCTTGGTTAAACATTTATGTTTTCTAGTCCCTTAACATTTCAAATTTTTTTAATTCTGAAATTAATCCTAGTATACAATAATAAGGCAGTGGTGTGCTGGTAAAGGTTTGACAACTATCTCTCTGGTGGAAAAAAAGCCTTGATTTGTAACACGTGCCTATTTCCATAATGTAAAAACTCCCACACAGCCAGTTTCAAGCTACCAAAGTCATTGTATGTGAAGGGAAGAGATGAATATACAATTGGCTCTATCTCCAGCATACCACTGGAAAAGAATTGTTGACCATACTGAAATTAAAATATAATCGAAGAAATAATCCCAGAGGATGTTACTATGTTAAACAAAGTAAAAACACTGATGATTCTTCAAGATGTTTAAAATTCTTATTATACCACAAAGGAAAAGACAACTCTGAGAGTAACAGCAATTTTTATCCAAAAAAGAACGACAAAGAAAATAAGAAGAGATAAAATTACAACAGTTTTCTAAACAAGAAAAAGGCAGAAGATTAAGTAATATTTTAAAAACTTTACAAAAACATATCACACGTAAATAGCTGATATTTCAAAATTGTCATATAAAGAGGTAATCACAAGGCATGCAGCAAAAAATTGCTGGAAAATCATGAGTTAATAAATGAAAATAACATGTTACTTTATATAATATTTAATTGCTACAGTGTATGCCTAGAATTCTGCAGTCTGTGGGGCTGCAGAGTTGGACGCCACTTAAGAGAAGGAATAACAACAACAAATAAAATTTTAAATGGTAATATGAATTATTTTATAATACTTCCTTAAAACATTGAACATAATTGTAAATCTAACTAAATATCTATAACAAAAAAGTATTTTATGTGCTGATTCAATTAACATTTTCCCTGGTTTTAAATTCTCTGTAGATATCTTTGTATCATATCAAATACTGTTTATTAAATATTTAGAATGATGATATTCATAACCATACTGATTTGCCCACATATGCAAAATCATATTAATATATCCAAACCCTAGTATTTATAGTGGATATATATTTAGTAAAAATATTTTTGGAATGTTTAGTAAAAAATAAAAATATATTTTTGGAATGTTCTCCCTTCTTCATGTCATTCTGCTATCTGTGTTCTTCAAAGGTAACTTTGAATCAGAAAACTTTGTTCTTGGGAACAGTGTCCAGATGTAACAATGTGTCCTTGGTAAAACTGACAGTATGTGCATTGATAATATATAATGCCTTTTTTCTCAAGAACATTATGATGAAAGTATAATTTCATATTCTTCCTGCATCTTTAATGATCTGGACATTATGGGTTAATGACAGATTTAACTGATATAAGGTTACTAAAGTGAAAGTGAAAATTGCTCAGTCTTGTCAAACTCTTTGTGACCTGGTGGACTGTAGCCCACCAGGCTGCTCTGACCATGGAATTCTGCAGGCAAGAATACTGGAGTGGGTTGCCATTCCCTTCTCCAGGGGATCTTCCAGACCCAGGGATTGAACCCGGGTCACCTGCTTTGCAGGCAGATTCTTTACAGTCTGAGCCACCAGGTTTACTATGCCCTTCTTTATTTCAAAGGTGTTTGAGAATTTTCTGTAAAGTACTCTGTTGTTGAGAGGACCCCTCATATAGTTTCTTAAGTCATTTATATCATTATTTCAATTATATACCACTCAGAGATGGTCTTATGTGATTTTCTCTTTTTATTACTATTGGTCTAATAAATATGCCCTTGGGAAGAAAGGAACTATGAAATAATCAGTCCAATTTCCAAGTAGTATAAGGCTTAATTCATTTTTAGTATATACAAATGCAAGTGATTTCTGCATATGGATTTTGTATCCTGCAACTTTGCTAAATGTACTGATTAGCTCTAGTAATTTTCTGATACTATCTTTATGGTTTTCTGTGTACAGCATCACATCATCTGCAAACAGTGAAAGATTTACTTCTTTTCTGATCTGGATTCCTTTTATTTCTTTTTGTTCTCTGATTGCTGTAGCTAGGACTTTCAGAACTATGTTGAATAAGAGTGGTTAAAGTGGACACCCTTGTCTTGTTCCCAATCTTAGGGGGAATGCTTTCAGTTTTTCACCATTGAGAATAATGTTTGCTGTAGGCTTTCAGTTTTTCACCATTGAGAATAATGTTTGCTGTAGATTTATCACATAGGGGCCTTTACTATGTTGAGGTAGGTTCCTTCTATGCTCATTTTTTGAAGAGTTTTAATCAAAAATGGGTGCTGAATTTTGTCAAAAGCTTTTTCTGCATCTATTGAGATCATCATATGGTTTTTATCTTTCAATTTGTTAATATGGTTTATCACATTGATTGATTTGCATATATTGTAGAATCCTTGCATCCCTGGAATAAACCCAACTTGATCATGGTGTATGAACTTCTTGACGTGCTGCTGAATTCTGTTTGCTAAAACTTTGTTGAGGATTTTGGCATCTACGCTCATCAGTGATGCTGGCCTGTAGTTTTCTTGTTTTGTGTTGCCTTTGTCTGGTTTGGGTATCAGGGTGATAGTGCCCTCATAGAAAGAGTTTGGAAGTATTCAATGTAAGATTTCACTGTCAGTATTTAGAATGAAACATTTTAAAAGTTTAAGACAAATAATCAAAGGATTATACTATTTTTAAAACTGTATAAAGGGCATTACTATAATCAATACAGAACAAAAGACACTAATGTTTTTAAACTCCAGCTCTTTCTTCACAAATAGTGTAAAATACTTCATATTTTAAATGATTTCAGAAAGTGAATATGAGTGTTTTCTGTCAAGGATATAGCTCCTCTGTCTTTTTAAAATTAAAATTTATGTTCATTATTTTAAGAATCACAATTTATAAAAAAAAGTTTTCAAATAAGGAAAACAGATTAGATGTAAAAATATTGCAAGATACTAATTAAAGCTTAAATTTTTATTGCAGATATTTTCATAATAAATAGACAAATAGAGGAAAGCCATTTCCCCCTAATTTTTTCATTACAATTTACTGCTTTCTCTAATATTTCCAATGTTTAACTTCCTCCAATTCCAAAATACACATCTACATTTATAAGCAAGATAGGCATTTGTTTATACGATACAATGAAGATAATTCCCTCCCCTGAAAGCACATTTTCCCCTTGTTGCAGTACATCAGGAGAAGTAATATATCATGTTAAGATGCTATTCCTTTCATTCTTCTATCCTCAGGTTCTATTTAAAAATTAAAATATCCTAATCCTTAGCCTGGCACACAATGCTTTCTGCAGTGAGTCTCATCATAATAAATTCCCTTATGTGTCTACCTTCCCAAACTTACAGTTCACTTCTCTCACCTCCATTTATTAAAATTCTACTTATTCTTTTCAGGTCTAACTAAAATGCTCATCACAACTTGCACTATTCTCTCATATTTCTAAATTACTACAGCACTCCACAAAAGCTTACAATTTTAATTTTACAACCCTCCTTCTTACATATGATTTTAAAAATTATACAAAGTTAGAAATTAAGTGTTGCATGACCACATACAGGGATAGAAATTATGTTTTATTATAGACTTTTGTGT